ATTATAAAAATAAATAGGCATAATATGTCTATATTATTCAATGAAGCCTGTTTGAATAAAGATATGCTGCCTGAATATATATAACAGATGTAACAGCAAAATTGTCCAAATCGTATAAAAGCAAAATTGTCCATTTGTAGAACCATTGTATCTTAGAAATGATTAAAGATATCTTACTGGAATTCTCCTAGTTGAAATGATGATCCCTCTTGCTGTTGTGACCTGATCCAGTTTTCCTCTCCACTGTTCCATCTTTTTAAAATTTATTCACCGTTATCTTGATGGTTCTTGAATGGACTCTGAAAATGGAAGCATGAATGTTGTTACCATTCCTGAAGGCCTGAATGATCTTTTTCCTCTCACCATTGCTCAGTTGGGGTGACATGGTGGAGATGACACAAAACGATTTTGACCTGTTCACTTTCTAGCTGAATAATTCAATTTTCAGTGATTCTTACGACAAATGGTGTCAAGATGGTGAAACATCTGAAAATCTGGAAAAAAGAAACTCAATTAGTCTAGTGCTTTTTTAGATATTAAGCGAGTATGACCATCACTGGCATGTCCAGCCCCTCACTTAAACTCCCGCCTCGACACTGGCTCATAAAGCCAGCCATCGATCTATATTTCTTGTCACATATGTGGCTTATGAAATCATCTCCGTGTGGTTGAAGGAGACTTTGATATTCATCACTTCCAATGTGCCCTTTCATATGCCTTATATAGGTAGGGCTTTTAAAGCATGTCATTACGAAATCGTCATATACAATAGACTGTTGGTGTTTATGTGACCGCTGGTGATTGAGCAGACCCGCCCTGGACAGATTGCATTGGGCACGTGATTAGCATGACACCTCAGGGCAATTCAGGGATCCCTTCCGAACACCTTTCTTCAGATTTGCATATTTTTGTGATGCCTCATGGAATATCTTGACGCTGTCAGCAATACCAGCTCTCCGAAAATCCCTGTCTTCAGCTAGAGTCTGCCAGTCATCCAGACCAATATTATACTTGTATTAGTGACTCTTTAACGCAATCTTTGTAACGAAGTATGGGATTGTGCTGCAGTCTTTTTCCCATTTGCAATTGTTCATACATTATTTGTTTTAGAATTCTGTCATCCGCCATACAGACAACATGGCCCGTACATTGCAATCTATGCTGGTGTATAAGTGTTTCCCCAGACAATGAATTGACCCTTTATAGAACAACAGTATCAAGGATGTGAAACTTCCAGCAGATTTCAAGCACAGACCGAATTAAGCGTTCCGGTATCTTCAGATGTTTGTGATAGAATACCCATGTCTCACATGAATATAGCAGATATGACATAACGCAGCCCTTATATATCTTAACTTTTGTCTGTTTTTATGCCCCTCTGACTCCAGACATGGATGTGCTGCAAATGCATTGCGGGCCTTTTAACCCGTAATGCTATCTCACCGTCAAGAGAGCAGTGGCGGTTTAGGATGCTACCAAGGTATACAAATTTGTCTACTACCCCAAGTCGACTACCATCAACATAAACTGATGACATTCTATAGTGAATTCCTCGGGCAGGTTGATACATCACTTGAACTCCTGTGCGTGGTGAATTGCATAGAATAGGTTGCGCACTAAACTCAAATAGACGTTTATCCTTGCTGTAAACCTACGTATGTTGAAAAGCTTGCCAGTTGACCTGTACCTTATCATAATACCATAATGGCAGTCCCCGAATGCATCAAACAGATGCAAAGTAGATAGAAAACAATGTAAGAGCCAAAAGATTACACTGTGACTTAGGCAGTATATTGTCAACTATGCTCTGGTTTCATCTTAATAGGAGAACAAAGGCTAAGATCTTACCTACTGAAGAAAGGAGAGTAATCCCTCTATAATTCCCTTATATACCTTTACCCTTATATATATATATATATATATATATATATATATATATATATATATAACCCTATATATATATATATATATATATATATATATATATATATATATATATATTGTTGCATCCTCCAATCTTTTGGCATTTCTCCAAATCTTTACAATAAGATCATGACTGAAATGTGTTTCACCGTAACAGAATATTTCAGCTCTACCGATATTGAGACACTCCATGCTACGCAGAACCCCTCCCAGTGATGCTTTGCTATACCACTATGGGTCTTTGAGATATTTTCTTGAGAACCTCAGAGTTCACATTTGAAGGCCTGTTCAGTAGCCCATCAAAGTGTTTCTTCCATCTTTTGGCTATGCCATCCATGTCTGTGAGGAGATCATTGCTGTCCTCTGCCCTAAGAGGAGTGATATTGGTGGATCTGGGGCTAAATACTTGTTTCATCAAGTAGTACATCTGCTTGGTATTATTTGAATTCGCTGCATTCTGTATTTCTTCTGCTAGCTCTGACCACTATTTTTTCTGCATAGTTTGAAGAACATTGGACAGGCATTTTTGCAACACAGAACTTTGATTCTGATTCTTTCTTGCAATGATCTCCTTGATAGCATCATCATTTTCATCAAACAAGTCTCAATGTTTTGCTGGAATTTTACCTGAAACTTCCTCAGCCGCTTCATGTATAGTTTTCTTCAAGGAGTCCCATGAAGACATATCATTGATTTCAGCATGTTGTTGTTTTAGTGATTCCTGCGTTTACAGGGAGTGCAGTTTCGCGACACTCAGATGTGCAGAAGGCTTCCATTGATTTGTCTATTTGCTTGTTTAAGGAACAAGTTCTTCTTGGCCTACACTAGAGCATAATTAATCCAACAATCCGCACCACGCATAGATCTAACAATATGGACATCCTGCATATCTCTCGATGCCAATTAGATGCCACTGGCTTGAACGTGGATACATCCACGTAGTAACATGATCACCCATGTGTGCTGGAGATAAAAATATTAAATTCAGTGCTAAGTTCGAGAAGCATTAAACCATTGGTGATGATTTTCCCGCTGCCATATTTCTCCAAACTACTCCAGGTCTCCCAATCCACACCAACTTTCTCCAGAGTACACTCTTGTACATTTTGGATAAATAAAATCGACGTTATTGTTTCTTAAAAAATAAAAAAAAATATTGTCGGAGTTAGCTCCTCCTCAGCTCCTTAACCCTTCACCAGGGTCTCTCTCCCCTGGCTATAAATACTGGCTGACCCTTTGCCTCGATCTCTCTTTTTTCCTTGGGCCTTATACCCCATTATGTAGCGGACTGTGGGGTGAAGATGTAAAGAATACATGTGAGTTAAAATTTCCTGCTAGCCGAAAGTTGGACTTTAATTAAGTCCAAAGAAAACCGATAAATATATGTAAACAAATATATGTATTAACAAGTACAAGTTACAAGCACATAGACAGTTACATAGAGTTTGTGTGGTGAATATTGTGTGTGTGTGTTGTGGTGAGTGTTCGTACGTACATGTATTGTTCTTAGCGTGTTCCCAGAATTTGGGAAACGCTGTATTTGTGAGAGTTCCAATCTGCGAGGTGGTATAAAGCCAAATATGCTTGTATCGTTGTCGGGTCCGGTATGACTGGTTTTGTTTAGGGGTGGTTGCTTTCGGTTGTATCGGCGAAACGAATGTAGAGTTGGTCGGCGGCGGTAGTTGGTCGACTGCCGGATGGGAGAATTGTCGGGAACAGCAGCAGGTTGATCGATGTCGCATGAAGATTCGTTGTATCGGTTAGGACGAGTCCCTGAACAGGGCCGAGTCAGTATAGTGATACGACTTCCATGGCGGATCAACCACGGAGGCGGGATCGCGCCGAAGTGTAGCACTTGACGAGTACGGAGTCCCTAAACAGGGCCGAGTCAGTATAGTGATACGACTTCACAGGTAGGATCAACCGCGGAGACGGCATCGCGCCGAAGTGTATTCTCTCGACAAAGCACCGGAAGCTCACAAAGGTGGCGTACTACACATTGATCCAGGCCGGGATTTATTTTGTAAAAAATACAAAATTGTGGCACAAGGCCGAAAAGGGGGAGGGGGGATAAAAGGCTGGTCTTCACTAACTATCTTATACCTAGCTAATTTAATTCACGACCCATTCAGACATTACAATTTACTCATTCACCATAAGAACTCGTCCGTCATCAATCAATCCTCCATGCACCATAATACCACATCCACTCTAGGGAGACCTACACAACGCGCCCCGTGTCATAGTAATTTTAATGATCCTAACACATATGTACAAAATTCTAAAATGAAAAGATGAGGGGGGGTTGAACCCAATAAGGAACTAAAATATTAACATAAATGAAATTAAACGTTAACTGATGTTAGTAGAGGCCCGTCCAACCCCCCCCGCAAAAAAATTAGGGAGACCACTGTATTCTGCCCATTGGAACAAAAATCAAGCAGCTCTCTCGCTAAGGGAGTTGGAAAGGTGATAAAAAATCATACGGGCGTCGGGAAGTATAAAGCTGACCCAGTCGAGATAGAAAGTGGGGGGTCAAAAAACAAACTGGAGAGGTTGGGAATCTCAGGCTGGATCATGCTGGGGGGGCAGGTCGGGAACAACACTTACTCGCATTAACTAGGTACACCAAAGCTTGTCTAACCTAACCAAGGGGAGGGCACCACAGGAAGCCACCCCGATGTAACGTACACTTTGATCCAGGCCAAGCAGTTCGGATTTGGTAGAAAAAAAGGGCTAACAATATGTGGAGCGATTTGTTCAAGTACTCCTGGCTAGAGGGTAGCAAACCATAGATATAAAATTATTCCCCATGTTTTTTCGATGTTTGTTTTTCGCTGCCTAATCCGATGCTCATTTAATTCGGTTTTCCTGGAGTCCACCATATTGGCCAGTCGTCCAGTTTCTCGCCTGCTGCTGGACTTAAATCTGCGAGATCAGGTGTTGTGAAGGTCAAGGTCGTCTTTCTAAGGAGCGGCTAATGGCGGCCGCGACAAGGCCCTTCCCCTGGAGAATTGATCATATCAGTTAATAATAATTATATTTATGAAGATCTTTAGGGAAAGTGACCCTCCTACCGGATCTGGTCTGCTGCACAGGAGTCGCTGGGGTGTCGTCTGATGTCTGCGGTGCTGCGTGTGCCGGGTGCGCTGGAGTACTGTTAGTGATCCGCGGGGCCGGGTTTGCGTCGTACTGTCGCTTCTCCAGATTGCTTCGATCGATTGCGACGGTGTCGGTCGTGTTGGCACTCTTGATCGTAAGGTGCTTGTCGGTGCGCCGAAGAACCTGTAAAAGACCTTTGCCGGTGTAAGGGGTCGTCTCACGGCGTCGTTCCGTACGAAGACGAATTCGCAATCCCGCAAGTGTTGAGGGATGTACGAATCCGTCGGTTGCTGTCGCGTAGGTGCATATTTAAGCCGAGCCATTTTGTGGCGGAGTTCCTCGACGAAAAGAGTTGTTGGTTTTGAAAGTGTCTGAAGGGAGTTGTTGAAATATTCACCGGGCAGCGCAAGAGGTGTACTGAAAACTAGTTCGGCGGGTGAACAACCTAAGTCCTCCTTTACGGTATTCCTCAATGCTAGGAGAATCAAAGGTAAGTCGTCCACCCAATTGATAGTGTCAGGTCTAGTGGCCAGGGAGGTGTTAAGGGACCGATGAAACCTCTTGACTAAGCCGTTGGCGCACGGATGATAAGCGGTAGTTTTTATGTGCTTGGCACCAAGTAGGTTGGTAAACACCCGAAAAAGGGACGACTAGAACTGTGCCCTCCTGTCGGTCGTGATGCCTTGAGGCGTGCCGAAAGGTCCAATCCACTCTCTCAGGTTGGTCTTGGAGACGGTGCGTGCAGAAGTGTCTTTTATAGGTATGGCGGTCGGCCACCGCGAAAAACGATCCACAACCGTTAAAAGATACTGGTAATCCCGACACATCGGCAGCGGTCCCACTAAGTCGACGTGTATGTGTGAGAACCGTGTATCGGGATTGCTGAAGGTGCCGACGGGGGATTTAGTGTGTCGGTGGACTTTACACTTCTGGCACTGCATGCACGTGGAAACCCATTCTCGGATGTCCGTATTCATATTCGGCCAAACGAATAAGTTTGAGTGTAGCTCTCTTACTCGGATGAGACAGCCCGTGGAAATGTTGAAATACCTGTCTTCGAAGTGTCGGTGGGATGTAGGGGCCTAGGGCTTGCTAGGCTGGTGTCACAGTACAGAGTCGGAGTTAGCTCTTCCTCAGCTCCTTAACCCTTCACCAGGGGTCTCTCTTCCCTGGCTATAAATACTGGCTGACCCTTCGCCTCGATCTATCTTTTTTTCCTCAGGCCTTGGGCCTTATACCACATCGCAGATGTGAACTCTCACAGATACAGCGTTTCCCAAATTTCGGGAACACGCTAAGAACAATACACGTACGTACGAACACTCGCCACAATACACACACACACCACACAAACTCAATGTAACTGTCCATGTGCTTGTAACCTTTTGTTAATACATATATTTGTTTGGATATAATTATCTTGTTTGTTTTCTTTGGACTTAATTAAAGTCCAAAATTCTCATGTAGCTTGGTTAGCAGGAAATTTTAACCCAGGTGTGTTCTTTACATCATCACCGCCACGGTCTGCTACAAAATGTGGGTCTACAGAAGAATGCCGAGGATACCATGTAAGCAACAACAAAATTTTAGAGAAAATAGAAACGAAAAGGAAACATATTTAACATCAGGAAGAGACAGTTGAAATTTCTAGGACACATTATGAGGAAGAAGTGATTGGAAAATCACATACTCACAAGAGAAAGAGGAACAGAGGAAAACAATGCATAAATATAATTGACTACCTTATGTAAATGGATGGGTTCAAGAGAAATAATGGAAAGACAGAATTTTGTGGAGAGCCATATCCAGAGGGACACAGGATATAAGAAAAAAGAAGGGTAATATAATAAATCAATTATGTTATGTATATAAATGTAAGACCAGTTATTCATAATGCAATTATGCATTCATATGCATCAATTATGCAATTCATTACAATTACTCATATTTTTGTCTCTTTTAAAAATTTTATAAACATATCTACAGATGACGTATTTCAAAACAGAACAATATTATTATCTGGTGTATTATATTTAAACACTATTTTTCTGTTGCTGTAGAGATTTCTTATTTGATGTTTTACTGCGGAAGTAGGGTAGGTATCAGTTTCATAAACTTACCAAATATATATCTTATGTATGCACATTTTTTCCAAAATGATTCATAATACTGTAAGCTGAAGCCAACTGCTACAATAAAACATCAATTTCCAGCAAGAAAGATCACTATTTTTTATATCGCTACATATGAAACTGACAATTAAGACAAATAAAACTTGATATTCAGCTTAAAAAACTTTTTAATCTTTTAAAAGTAATAATTTCCAACTTACATGTTACATCATTTAAAGACGTTATTAAGGAATATTTTAATACGAAGGCCTGAATATATATTTTTTTAAATTCGAGACGAATTAAATTATAACGAGTATGTCATTATTTGTGGGATTTTAGTTTTTAAGTCTTCAGACTCAACCATTCAATTAAATTATTAAAAATCAGATTGTAGACTAGTCCTTTCCTATCTATCACCCCTAGTAGCAGAACAGTCTATATCTTACGCCTACGTACGGAAAACTTCGACCAATAAAAACCGTACTAGGCGAATCAACAAATCTCATTGGTTAACGACCGAATAATCTGAGTTTCACGTGCAAAACAAAATTGCGCCAAAACTTCTTTGAGCCGATTTGGGACTTTCAAAACATATAAAAGAAAACGCCGACTGACCAAAACAGCCAGTGACGAACATCCACAGAGAAATTGCCAACATACTCCACGTCACTCGAAATCACGATTTTACCGCGCAAAAGTACATCAACGCTGACTCACTTGCAATTTAAACTCGACCAACTCTGTGGACAACGAATCGCAAACCTAAAACAACTTTGCTTATCCAAAGTGAATTATATTTTCTACACATTAAGTAAAAATCAACGTCCGAACGATTCAGAAATATTACAGTCAAAGGTAGATCACTCAATAAGAGCTCCTCCCAAAAAACACTTAATATCGACATTTTTAATATTAACACAAATCCAAAAAGACTGTAAATGAACATACAAATACTAAGAGAGACATACCGAAACCTAAAATATCACACACACTTTGCCATAGTAACATATATCAAAATATCCTGTATATATATTACTTTTAATTGTATATAAATGTTTTGTTGGTTTCTAAATTGAATATGTCTTGTTTTTGATTGTATTTAAAATTTGTTTATTTATTTGTTTGTGGATGCAGAAAGTCACGCAACCTACACAAATTCCTTCTGATTCTCTCAATTACAATTAATAAATTCTGCACATCCCCAACAAGATCATTAACCAATTTCAATGCTTTCTAAATTAATGCCGAATTTTCATAACTGATATGTTAATTGTAATAATTATTATAATTAATAACAACACACACATATATATATATATATGGAAAAGTTTTCGTGTGATGCCTTTCGCTCTTTAGGAATTCATCAGTCTACGTTTATGTTTACATTGATACAGTTATACATACGCTCGAATGAAAGAGAGGCGCCGAGAATTTTAAACTTATTTTTTTAATATGTATTCTAGGGATATAATTTAGCCGATTTCATTTAGATTCTTTTTGTTTATGTTTCCATTAATTTTTTTAATAATTATCCCACATTGTAATAATAATAGATCTGTCAAGAAAAGTGAAACGTTGAAAGCATCTGGACGCAAATTTACTATGGACAATCTTGAGCGGTGTAATGGTTAGCAAGATTGCCTCGCCAGAACAACTACGACTGAATAGTGAGTTCGATCCTCATTGGATGCCCCATACCTTTGGCCTTGTGCTGCATCTAAGCTACGCTTTGAAAATCGCTTTATTATGGGTGATCTCGCGATTAAAACACTTTCTAAGCATTTTCGTCTTAGTATATACCAAGCGATTATAAGATGTTGCCTGGCATACATGGTGAAATAATCACACAGTCCGATTATTTTGACACACACTTCAATAATATGTTTAATTGCATTATAGTTTGATAATTTGTATACAAATTCACGCAATTATTTATAATGACTGGTTTTTGATGAAGAAAATAGCTTTATTTCCTTAAAAAATCTGTTTCCCGGAAACATTGAAAAACGTTACCGATTTTGACTGAATTGAAAATATCTAAAGCTTTTGATAGTCTGAAAAGACTATCAAAAATAAATCCGCAACAAAGGTGGTTGCTACTCGTATGGAAAATCATCTTTCTTTTGAATGAAAAATTATAATGAAAAGTTTAAAATAGCCGATCTTATCTAATTTAGGGGTACTGAAAATACGAATATTATTTAATCTTGTTGATTGGCTCTCGATTTCAAGATACGATACTAGTGCTATATGAATGTTTCATAAAAATTGTTGTCCTTGCCAGAACCTAATAACCTTATTATATATAATCATTCTTCTAATAAATTAATTATGATTTTTCTTTCCACTCAGGTTTTCACACAGCTGAGAAAAATTCCCCGTGAATGTCTGAACAAAGCCAATAAGTTCTGCTATGTGTGGCGAAGTGACCTTTGCATCTCTAAAGCGAAATATAACATCTATTTTGAGAAAAACTTACTAGGGGATGCAAAAATTGTAACCAAGACAAGAAGTGGGCACCACATATATGCTGTAATACCTATGCAACAAATCTCAGTAACCAGCTAACCAGAAAAAAATCAGTGCATTATGCAGAGAGAGCTAACTGATCATGCTACTGATTGCTACTTCTGCATGGTACCTCCAATTACCAAGAGACTGTCAAAGAAAAAGAAATGGATAGTGCAATATACAAACATTCCATCAGTTTTGCGTGCTGGCCCTCCTAATGAAGACATAACAGCCCCGGAATCGTATGAAATTGAGTCAGATTATGGGGAAGACAATGAAACCTCAGAGCTTAAATCATCAATTTCATATGACCAAGATTATTGTCCAACACCTCATAACGTAAAGTGATCTAAAGATTAGAGATTTGGAACTTCCTAAGAGTAAAGGCCATAGATTTAGAATTTCCTAAGAGTAAAGCAGAAGTTTTAGATTCCAGGTTACAGCAGGTGATGTACGGATTTCCCATTTATTGATATTTAATTCATAAGTGAATTTAAAATGAAATTTCTTTAAAACATTTTAAAAGTTTTATAATGTCATTAACACATTTGTTTTGGATTAAAATGCCATCAATATATATGGCATAAATGGCGGGTTTATTTATTCTATTGACCATATAAAAATTTGAAAATAAAGGACTGAGAGGAATATATTATCAACGCCGTTAGCCTGGGTATAAATATTAGTATGGTCATCGTAGAAAAGGACTGTGTTGTGGATTCTAATATATATTTTTTTTAATATTGTGGGATTAATTTTTAGAGGTGGTAGAGAAGAATGGTGATAAATGTTATTGAAAATATTATTAATTGCTTAGTGAACAAATTTTCAACATCTGAGGATGGTATGATTTCATTCTGGGGTTTGTTGGAGTGAAGAAATTTGCAAAAATTCGTTAGTAGAGTGGATATTATATTTGGTAAGTAAGTACGATATGATTAACTGGTTTAAAGGTTTTGATAATTGATATATAGATGTAGGAACTTGTGATGTACGACGGAGGGGATTGCCTGACTTATGGATTTTAACATTCCCATAAAAATAATCAGGGTGATATTCGCCAATGATTTTTTTAAAAGTTTTAACGATATATATAGGAGGAGGGTTGTTTGTGAGGTGGATATTTAAGCAACAACCATTCATTAATATATGTTTGATTAAAGACCATAGACAAAAGCATTTTTGCTTACGTAAAATAAAACATATTTGAATTTAATTCATATTATTCAACTATTTGCCTTACTTCCGGCTATTATTAGTTTATAATGGATGTTATTCGTTTTTTAAAAACATAAAAAAGTTGTTGGCTGTTATCACTAACAATCTTCCATCAAATCTTGCAGCCAAGCCCGTACCAAATGTAATGACCTATATGAGAAGTGGGGCCCATATGGTCTGGGTAGCGCACAGACTCTATATCCATCGGCCAAGCCTGCATCCTGGAGAAGTCACTCTGATCTCACCATCAAAGTCTGAATTTTGACCAAACAGGGCATATTTTTCAAGGTGTGAAATGTCTTCAAGACTCATTGTGAATGTGGGTGATAGGTGCTGGACCTAAACGAAGTTAATCTTAGTTGTCTAACTACATGAAATATTTTCGACCCAAAGTTTGACCCTTGGTCTGACTGTACATCTCTAGCTAACCCTACAGTAGTAAAAAAGGTGATAAGGGCTTTTACTATTTTTCGATTCGGAATATTCTTTAAGGATATTGCTTCCGGAAATCTAGTTGAAGCACATATAGTTGCTAAAAGGTACCGGTTTCTCAACTTAGTTTTGGGTAACGGGCCGAAACTATTTATAATTACAGTGTTACGATCCTCCACTCGTCCTCTAACCGGATCGTTAGCGGAGATAAAGGAGGATCGCAACCTGTATTATTATTTTTAATATGTATACAATTCTTATAACAAATTTCCTTCCCCAAGTGGGGGGTCTCTTTCCGATTTAATCAGACACGTCCGAGCGGAAACAAACGGGGTAAACCAGATATAGAGACAGCAAATAATTATTTTTTTAGCAAAACATACAAACGAAGAGAAAATGAAGGACAGGAAAAACAAGAAAAACAATAAGTCAGAAATATAAGCATTATGGACAGAACTTATACACTCAGAAAGATAAATTACAGAACAATATATGATCTTGTGCTGCACTTGCACGAATTTACAAAACATGAAATTTAAAACAAGCAGAGGGAAACATGTAATACAAAAGATCTAATGCCAGGCTTGCATGAAAGTACAAACATGAAAAGATACATTAAGCAAAATTAAATCATATAAGAGAAACAATGAACTTATCTGGGCGTTATAAAAGCTCTTCTTTTTCTTTAATGTCTCTTATATGTATGTTTTCTTTTTCTTTTAGATTTAATTTATCTGTTTCTTTTTCTTTTCGTATAAGCGTCTCTTTTTGAGGTCTTTTCTCTCTTTCTTTCTTTTCGTAGAAGTGTCTCTGTTTGAGGTCCTTTCTCTCTCTTTTTTTTCATTTCGTCTGGTCTTGGATTTCCCTTGAGGTCTTTCATCTCTTTCTCTTTTTGTATAAGTGTCTCTTTTGAGGTCTTTTCTCTCTCTCTTTTTCTTTTCGTCTGGTCTAGGCGCTTTAGTTGATCAAAGATGGACTCGCTTTCGCATATCCAAATTCTTTGGCATATCCAATTACTTCTTTCACATACCCAAATCTGATTATTGCAGTCATAGCAGACTCGTCCTTCCAGTCTTAAGACCAAAGAAGGAATTTTTTCACATAACCATAACTGACTATAGCATTTATAACGGACCCGTCCGTCCAACCTCCAGTGCTTGGATAAGGAGTGACTTTGCGCTGTTCGTTTTTTGTTTTTTGTTTTTTATTATCACGTGGTCCTTGGTTTCCAAATATGAACTTTTTTCCTGTGTGAGCAAAAAGATATCATTGACACTTTCTCTCACCTGCAGGGTTTCAGAGATTTCGTTTACCATCTGGCTTTCATCCGGTTAAATCACTTCGCCAACACGTGATTAAAAGAGAAAGTAAAATGCGCAGTCTTTACTCAAATACGTGTCAGTTTGGTTAACATCTGTCAACATTCAATTTTACTTCATCTCTCTGCTTTTCTATTTTTACGCTTTCTGATTACTGACTTTTTATTTAAAATGGTTCTAAAATATAAGCATGGATATAGATTTTATAATAAATATGGATGAGGGTTCGTAACAACGGCTAAAAGGTTCCTCAAATGCGGAAATGGGTGTATAAGAGCGCAGTTGGAATTTTCTGATCAGACTTTCCCACCACTTGGAAAACATAGCAAGTCCAGCAGTGTTCAGATAAGTTGTTTTTCCTATTTCAGGCCAACAGAAATGTCTCAGAATCTTATTACAAGTCTTATTTATACCCAGATGGCCCACCAGAGGAATTTCATGAGCTGTTCTCACTATCTCTGGTCTATAGGTTTTAGGGATGACGACTTGATAGACTACTGCCCAGTCTTCCAAAACTGGGACACGTGGAGGGCTGCATTTTCTCATAAGTACATCATTTTTAACAAAGTATCCTTTTGGAATTTTCTCGGAAACGCGTACATTAAAAGCGGGGAGATTTCGGGATCTCTCTCCTGTTTCATTACAAGCTGTTTCCTTGATAGGAAAAGTGAGCTCTATATTATCAACGCTATTCTCTCCCACAAGACTATCAGAGGGACAACTGAAATTCATGTCGGGATTTTAAAATGTTTGGGACAGATCGATCGTCTCGGCTTTCGCTCCACAAATTTTCTCCTTCCTTTAGAAATCTTCCTTTCCTTCTTGTTCTCGGGCCACAGCACACAAAGGAATATACCAGGGTTCTCTTCCCCGATCTTCTCCGTTTCTATCGAGGTGACCGCTTCTAGCGTTACCTTGGTATGGATGGTTGCCTTCCCAACAGCTAGCTTATTTCCTAACAACATGGACACGCCTTTCATAAGCAGTCTGGGAACAACTCCAACAACTCTAAGTCTGACACAAGATGAACTCTATGTTGAGTGATACTAACAAAATCGCCACTGATACCCTGGACAACAACAAATTCACCCCTGGCTCAATCCGACCCACACGGCAAAGAACTTTCCAAAATTAAGAACTGAGTAGCTCATGTATCTCGCAAAACTTTTATGGGTATTCTTTTAGTGGTATCGCCCACAAACGAAAGAGATCCGTCAGACACATATGGTCTGTGCTCCTCTGTAACATCCTCAACAACGGATATTCTATCTGACATGGTTGGAAGAGACTAACATGGACCATTTGGTTATGGACCATTCTAAATTTGAAGTGACATTTCGAAATGTCAAAAATACCCATCTACTTCAGTTTCATTAAATTGCGGTACTAACCTAACGTGCTTTGCTAATTCAAACTCATTTCTCCTAAATTTGCTACTTAATTGTTTTTCCTTTATTTCTCTTGTTCAATTCTCACTTTTTCAATTTCAGCTTTTCGATTTTTCTTTTTCAGCTTTAATTTTTGCTTTTCACTTTCTCAAGTTCAAGTTGAGCTTGGGATAACTCTTATATTTCTACTGATAGTTGATTTAACGTGTCCTCGTTGAAAAACATCGTTATCTACCATATGTTCCGTAATTACTCTGACTAGGTGTGATTTCCGCATAGACTTTCTTACATCTAATCCTAAATTATTGCCAATTTTCAGTACATCTTTTTTAAGTCTAAAAAACTGCTCTAGGGATGGTAACTTTAAAAAAAAATTATATTACCGACATCTTGGTTCGCTTCTCGCTGGAACACTAACATGCGCTTTATTCCAACTGAGTGAATCCCGGACACGAGCCCCAGTCTTATATGTTATGAATTTGCAACATATAGAGATATGAACCCCAGTTTTAAAAGATTCCAGGATCTTCGGGAATAATTTCTTTTTATTCACTACGCATCGAGTAATATGATTTCCGGGAATAATATCTCTGTCCTTACACAACAATAGAATAAATTCATAGGCGCATTTCTAATGAGGACACGATGATAGTCAATTTACTCGTGACCTGCTGGAGATTATCGGGAAACTGAAATTACGATTCAACAATCCCACTAGGTGGCACATGTCACGTGTACTTGATTAGCCGATTTTTAATTACTCCATTAAGAGGTTAATCTGTCTAGTTATCAAGCGACACATATTCTTTCCCGCCATTTCACAGTCGAGACAAGACTCAGTCTAGACAGAAAATAAAGAAATAAAAGAAA